TATATTTTAAGTCAGACCTCACCAAGCCACTAAATCTAACTTGAGAGAATCACCCCGGCCCACAAATTGGAACCCTCTAACTTCAAGGACTAACAGTGGTCAATTAGCTCATTTCTTCTCTGAGAAGCCAGGCAGGCCATCATGACGGTAAAGCTCCAACCAAGCTCAGTGTTCATTCCGCAAACAAGATGCCCTCACGTGATGGTGACCTATTCTCACCATTTGGAAAGGCATGTGATCTACTTTGATGCAAGCTTATCCTCAGAATTTCTTTCCAAGACACCAGGGTCCTGTTGGTAAACCTGAAGAGGACTTATGATATAACTTCCTGCACCAGGCAAGCTGGTAAACACTACAGTACTTTATCAGCCCTGTCGGTTAGTTTTCTGTTTAATTATTCTTAATACCAGGCATGTACTCACTTGCTAATGTTCTGTCGAGATCAGCAATAAAGTCTTCTAGCTCTTTTGTGTCTCCTAATTTGGCTGTAAAACAAGAGAGAAAGAGTTCAGTTTCCATATCGAAGACAGCTGGTGACTCCATGTTAAGTTTTCCAGGATTCCACAATTTCCAACTTTATGCAATGGATTATGTCCGTTTTTTGCATCTCTGTCTTCAGAGTCTTACCGAGGAGCGCCTGTCAACCCTGAGTGTCTGCTGCAATGCCAAGTTGCAGCAAACTCAGAAGCTGATTCTGAAGACTAGTCTCGATAGTGCTTTTTCGTTCATCACTGCCTTCTCCCACCATCCCACTCTGCCTCCCCTTTTCCTAGAAGAATCTCCCTTCTCAGTCTTAAAAGTCTGGGGGGAGAGTGAAGGGCAGGAAGGAAAGATAGAGTTCTGACTTTTTTTAGAGAGTCAGTGGCACATTTTAAGCCACTTTCTAGACTGCTCTAGAGACGTTTGCTATAGGGCACGTGTGCTCGCCGGAGAGACAGAGAGACAGAAAGTGAGAAATTGCCCCTCCAGATGGCCACACCTCAATCCCTCCTCCTCCGTTCTCCTCCTGGGATCTTGGGCACGCACGCACACATGCCCAGCATGAGTCTTAAGCCTCCAGTTCAGGATTCAGACCGTGGGCAACCACATGCGAGTCCAGCGACATAACCATTATGCCAACTGCTGGTCCCAAGAGTTCTGACTTTTTGATTGTGTAGGATTTATCAGTGAAAAATACTCAGTGAGCATCCAGCCACAGGTATAGCAGTAGCACAGTTCTTCGTGATGCCGAGGCCAAATGAAAAGGTCCAGGGTTCATAAGCAAGGTCTTCCTGTATGCTCTGAGAGCATGTATGTGCCCTGCATCCTCACTGAGGCTGGGGTTAGATTATAGCATGATGCTTTGTAAAGGGTACCTTTCTCTCCCAGTCTCCCTCTCTCATAGAAGTAAATAAATAAATGTAAAAAAAGAAAATTTGGTAAGCATGGTGCTGTGCAAAATGGACCCCAAATTTCTACAATCCTGTCTCACTTGCTTCCTGCCACAGTCTTGCTTGTGCTTGTTGCCCAGGGCAGCCCCATAAGCTCCTCCAGCAGAAGAATGGATACTGGTCCTTGTTAAAATGGCACCAGGAAGGCAACATGATGCTGCTGGGTCCAGGTAGCTTTGGCCCGTTCAGATGCCAGCATGTGGTAATGAGTTCTGAGCCGAATTTTATTTTCTCTAGAACCTGAGCTAGGATTTTTCTATGTACCTTACTTTCTCTGTAGAGTGCATCATTCATGCCTTCCCTGACTGCATTACTGGATATTTTTACTCATTAACCCCCACTGCCTACAAATGGTTCATTGTTCTCAGCTTTTCAAGTCAACTTGCCACCAGGGGTTTTCTCCCCCCTCTTTAATTCCTACCTCTTGAGGATCGGGTAGCAAATCTGGGCACATTTTAAGCCACTTTCTAGACTGCTCTGTCTGAATTCAACAGATCCATTACAGAGAGAGGGCTGGAGAAGGGCAGAATCCCCAGTGGCCGCTAACATTGCTGTGCTGAGCAGGGAATTTTAAAACGTCTCTTTTCAAAGAGAGAGAAGTTCTGTCTTAATGCCAGAGTGAGAAAAGCAACGGGATCTTCATATTTCTTTTTAACTATGTTCCATTTTTATTGCATTCTGTAACTATTTTCAGCAAGTATAACTTTTTTTAAGGAAAAAAAAGTCCTTTTGTTTTCAAAAGGGCACTTGTCCAATAGAACATTCAGCTCTCTCACTGGAGACACTCTACCAGTTCCAAAAACTAAGAAATGGCTCATGCATGTTTAAAAACATTCTAGGTCTATTAATACCGCGGTAGAGACAGACTGGAGCTACTATTTTGAATTATGTTAGATCATCACTGTCTCATAATGATGACCCCATTTAATTGCTAAATTGGTCATCTGAAAGCATGGGTTAAATAATTAATGCCATAAAAAAAGAATCCTACTCTTTGCAAAGACTAACTGCTGAGTTTTAAATCTTAGAGCCATCCTGTCTGGGAGGAGGCTGGTTAAAACACCGTCATTTGGCACAGGCTTGATTATAGCACGTAAGAGAGAACAGACTAGCGTCTACAAGTTCTCTTGCTCCCGGTAAGTTCAGATTTTCTGCCCTAAATTATCTGATTTAATTTTACACTGATCAATATTCTAAGAAATGACAAATTCCACTTCATACTCTATCGGACTAAGAGAGTAGTCTTTTCTGGTTTTGCACCTTTGGGAAAGGTTGCCTGGGAATAAGAGGAAGAGAGAAAAGATTGAGAAAGGAGGAGAATAAAAACCGAGAACGTCACACTCCATCTAATAAGCGTACCTTTCCGAGGAGCGACAGTGGGCGAGAGCAGAGCTGGGGTACAGTCTGTTGGAGAATTCAGTTTTTCATCACTGAAGCTGAAGCTGTTCCTATAGAGTGAATCGGCACCTTCAGGACAGAAAACAGAGCCATCAAGTATTGTTTATTGAAAGCCAACAGTGTGCCTCCAAAAGAAGGAAATGTTTCAACTCTACAGTGACAAAAACAAGGAGATTTTCAGGTTTTATATATATGTCCCAAAATAATTTGAGACAGGCAGAGTTCATGTGTCTGCATGAGTGTATGTCACCAACCGGGAACTCGGAGGCCCTGGCCTCCCTGCAAACGGAAGGGTGTGCTAGACGATCGTGACCAACCCACAGGCGCGCAGCCCAGGGGTCTAATGACAGCCAAGGTGAGACCTGACTGACGGGGCTGGAGGTTGGTTTGGGATTTCAGACATAAGGAGTCATGACTTTATAATTCTCACTTTCCCTGCTCGAGAGGGGTTTCCTGGGGGAAAACTAGGTCAAAGGCAAAGATTTTTCCTGGAAGTTCATCTATTACAGACACTTCAAGGGATTTTGTTGTTTCCTCTAGTGTCATATCCCCAAAAGGGCTGAATGACAACAAGGCAAAGTCCCAGGGCTGGACTGGGAGTCAAAGGAACCAGCCCAGCTGTTAAGTACTTGGGTGCCCTTGAGCAAGACAGTATCTCTGGGCCTCACCTTACCCATCAAGACAACGTGAAGGTGAACTGAATAATCCTTAAAGTCCCTTCCATCTCTAAAGTTGAGATTCTCTTTCTTTGTATAATATGAAGGGGAAGGAAACAAGCCCAGGGCCAGCACAGCTGTGTGGCTATGACACAAAGGAGCTGCCATCTGAGCAAGAACGACGTGAAGGCAGAGGAGGCAGCGGAAGCAGGATGTGGCCACTGAGGCCGCGAGGGAACAGCCTTCCTGGTTAAACAAAACACAAAGCCAGCCGGGGTTGTAGCGCAGACATGAACTCCGGAGAGGCTCTTCAGGTGTGACAAGGTGGGCAAATATCGCAGGGTTGGCTGGGCCCTCACTCCTTCTTGGGATTCTTTCACTTTAAACCAATTACCTTCAGCTCAGGAAGCGCCCTCTTAGTGCAAAATGAACTCACCTAAGTTGCAAAAGGTATGCCTAATATAAAAAGAATCGGTGTTTTCAGAAGCAGAGGTTTCTGGTCCTCGGAGAGCTCAGGTTCATCCCTAGAAAGCTGCCACAGCTTCTTAGACACCTTACCTGGTGCCCATTCCACCCACACTCTCCAGACCAGGTGGCTCCAGCTGCCACCTTGTCTTCCTGGCCTACACACTGATCTTGGCCACTTTTCCAAACATGTCCAGAAGGACTTTGTGACCAGTCCTCACAATCTCTTCTTCTTTCACCGATCCAACCTAGGCCATCTTAGAGGACCCCAACCATCATTTTTCAGGGACTTGAGGACGAGCACCCACTGAGGTCCCAAACACTGACCCTTATATCTGCATTTCCCCACAAGACATGCTCCTCAGAATACTGGTCCTTTGAAAAGAAGAGCTGTGTGATCAACTACATTTGAGAAACACCACGCAGCCTTCATAGTCTCCACTTCTAACACCTCTGAGAAGACCTGTGATAAAGTGACCCAAGTGTTACTTATCCATACAATTTCTTGTGGCAGTCCTGTTACTATTTCTCAGGACACTTGGACTCTGTAGAACTCAACAGGGAAAGTCCTTCTGTTTGGGTTTAGCCAAGACCATCTCTTTTTTTGTTTGTTTGGGAGTTTTTTTTCTTTTTTTTTGGTTTTTGGGGTTTTTTTTGGATAGGTTTTTGCTATAGGGTGCGTGCGCTTGCCAGACAGACAGAGAAAGACATAGAGACAGAAAGTGAGAAATCACCCCCCGAGAGAGGATGGTCACGCCGCGATCCCTTCTCCTCCATTCTCCTCTTGGGATCTTGGGCACGCACGCACACGCGCCTGGCGTGAGTTTTAAGCCACCAGGTCCAGGACGTGAACCGCGGTCAGCTACGTGGGAGTCCAGCGACATAGCCATTATGCTAACTGCTGGTTCCCAACCAAGGCCACCTCTTGAGGAGCAGTGTGGATCTTCTCAAGGAAAAGCCTTTCTGGTACATACAAGAACATGGCCATGCCCATGCAGCCCTACGGCAGGGGATTCCTGTTTGTCACCAAGGAACACCCAGGGGAATTGCCACAAATACAGCCTAAGAAGCTTGTGGGGAGAAGAAGCAGTAAGATTTAGGAGTGAAAAAAACCACAGGTTCATGGGGAGGCAGGCTTCGTGCCCAGAAGGTGGAAACACAAGGCCCTTGACATGTTGTCTTTGGCTCTGAAGGACATCTGAGAGAGTCGCCCCCATCCCTGGCCAGAGCGCTGGCTCCAGAGACTTGCTGGCCCAGCTCTCAGGGACCACACCTCTTTCTCTATCTCCCAGCAGCAGCCAGCAGTTGAGAACCAGCTTCCACCTCACTCCACCCCAGTCTGCATGTGATGAAGGCACTTTCCCTGACTTGGGACCTTGCCTCTATTCTGCCCCAACTCACCAGCAATGTTATACCCACACAAGCAGGATCTTCAAAAAGGTCAAAGAAAATGTGTTTCATGAAAAACCATGCATGAATTTAAAAAAAAAATTGCACCAAAATAAACTCTCACTATAATTCTATTTTCCCACAAACTTTTCTTTTTTTTTTCTTTTTTGGCCAGAAGGCACATGAGCTCACCAAGAAAGAGACACACAGAAAGAGAGAAAGTAAGAAAGCAACTCCCAGGCAGAATGGTCACACCTCAATTCCTTCTCCTTCATCTCTCCTTCATCTTCTCCTTCATCTCAGAATTTTGAGCATGCACATGTGCGCAGCATGTTTCTCAAGCCGCTGAGTTCAGGATTTGAACTGCACAGTTGGCCATCTGGGCTCTAACTGCCCTAACCACCATACCACAAGCCGACCCTCCCATGGATGCTTTAAAACCCCCTCATATACTCATTCTTTGGGCATGGGAAGAACAGCACAGTGTATTCACCCCACAGGCAAAGTTGACAGTGGGCTATTGAGGTTTGGAAGAACGTGTGATCTGGTCATGGGGAGGGCCATTGCAAAAGAAGATAGTAGGAAAACAGGACTTGAATGAGAATTCTGGAAAAGCTCAGGTGGTTTGGGGAGACTATAAAGAATGAGCTATATAATAATAATAATGGAATATCATCACCGTTTACCTTGAGTTCCTCAGAGCCTAGTCCACATGCTATATGCCTCCTTAATCCAAGTACTTTTCCCGTGCCCAGAAGAGACAAACTGACTTTCACTTGACTGATAAATTCAGTTGCAAATCAAACTATTAAAATGCTATGAAGTTGCCTCCTATTTCTAATAAACTTATGCTACTCCCACAATGAAGGAGGGAGAGAAGAAAATACTAGTTACAATATCTCTACATATGTAAACACACATGCACACACACAGAGACAGGTCAACACAGCAGATGCTCACTTCTCCCTCCCTGCCTCCACCCAGCCACACACACGCGCACACACACACACACACACATGCTAGCTCACACCCCACACCTTGTCACACGGAGCTTCCACTCTTTTTCCGTGAGGTCCACAACCTAGGCCACATTTGACTCCAGGTTTTCAAACATCTGACCATCATAAGAAATAGACTTGAGCCAAAGCTTCCCACAATTTAGTTTCAGAATATTATCTTGTGATAACATTCTCTATATGTCGTTCATGGACAAAATTAAAAAAGCAGCCTCAAGAACCCCACGGCTACTCTGGGCCCAGCCATAGCTGCCAGTGTGGAGAAGAGACACGGCACAGAGGCCACTTGAAAGCTGGGTGACCCTGGGCAAGTCACTCAGTTTCTTCTTTAGCAGAAAGAGAATAATAACTGAGGCACTCCAGATACGGTGCCTGTGGTTTTAATGGTTTTCTTCTTAAGTTCCTGCCAAAATGGAGCCAGGATGCCTAGGGGAAGAAGAACCAAGAACAAAATGAATCAAGTTTTCAAGCTATTCCAAGCCCAGGACCTGCCCCATAGTGGTTAAGGGAACTTCTCCCAAATGGCTAAATCCTGGCTCAGCCCCTGCAGTTTGAAAAACACACCAGGTCCATGTGCGTGCATGTACAAAATCCTGACAGGATGGAGAAATTAGAAGAAGGAACTGTGGCCTAACGATGCCCCTTCAAGGGTGTTCTCTCTCTCTCTCTCTCTCTCTCTCTCTCTCTCCCTCTCCCTCTCCCCCTCCCCCTCCCTCTCCCTCTCCCTCTCTCTCAAGGGCGTGCACTCTCTGGCAATTAAAAACAATTTCAAGCCAATACTCTTTTCTTCAGAGAGTACAGAATTCTAAGAGGTTTCTCTTCAGAGGTACCCTTAGAACAAAACTCCCCAAAATGAGCCCCCAACATAGAGGTTCCTCAAGCTCTAGACCTTTCTACCCTTTACCTAAAAGGTGCGTTCCTCAGATTTCTATTAAGAACCTATGATGAACAAAATCTCACACTGTGATAGATCAAAGGTAAGTGAGGCCTAACTTTCTGTTCTTTTCACTCCCCTTGAACTCTATTTCTTCCAAAACGGCAGCCAATTAGTCAGATAAAGTGACTGCAATGTGTCACTAGCTGATAGCACATTAATGTATTATTGCCCCACCCAATTGCAGGTGCTGCTATTAATAAGGACTGGAGAAACTCACAATGGTGGTCATTTGGGGGGGCCTTGGCAAGTGGTAAGACTGGATAGTCTAGGGCCTTACAACATCTACTTCAATTGTCTCTGAAGCTCCATCTCACAAGCCTCTCAAATCTCCACTAGAAAAATCCTTGGCAAGTCCACTGAAGCCTCAAATACTGGAAGCAAGTTTACTAAGACACCCTCCAAAGAAATAAAAGCATATTAAATAGACAGTCATACAACTTTAGGGACACTAACAGAGCTTGACAAATTCAACAGCAAAAACAGAGGCTTGCCTAAAAGGTAGGTGTGTTTTTCAGTGTGGGGGTTGGGAGAAAGGTAATTTAGGGTTAGCACCAACATGTGTTACTCCAGAGGAAAGTAAAACCACAGACAGTAAACCTTGCCCAGAGCGCCCATAAATATAGAACAACCCCACACGCTCAAGACAAGCAAACTATAGTAATTAACTGAGAAAAAGAAAGCCTTAAACCTGTTTTCCTTTTGCCACGAGGAATGATGGTGGAGGTAGGGATTCTTCTCATCATCTAAGTTCTGACAGCCTCACTCATGTGGCAGAGAATATGCAAGAGCCCCACTTTTCAGTTTCAACACTATTGCCCCAGCTCTCCTTATGGGACTGCTCTCCCATCAGGACTCCTCTCCGTGTGTCAGAGTGAGACCCATTTGCCCACCAGGAATGTCTAATACAGCACCAAGGCATCCTGAGGGCCCCTAACTGGCTATACTCCCATAGCTTGAATAAGTTCAGGTTGTGGCATCAGTGGGCCCTAAGCCAGATTAGCTGCCAATAAGCTACCTGCATTCAGAGAAACGAATTGTAAAAGGTAGACTGAAAACCAAGGTAACATCGCTTACAGTGTCATAGATAACATTTTCATGCCAGACATTGTCCCCAACATATTGTAGTTGATCTATGTAAGATAGCAAGGTGTGTAATTTTTCATTCTTTTTAAATCAGACAGGACAAATAGTTTCTTCTTTTTTTGTTGTTGATGGGTTTTTTGTTTTTTTTTTTTTTTGTTTTTGGAGAGGTTTTTGCTATAGGGCATGTGCACTCACCAGAAAGTCAGAGAGAGACAGAGAGATAGAAAGTGAGAAGTCACCCCCCCCCCCAGGGAGGATGGCCACGCTGCAATCCCTTCTCCTCCATTCTCCTCTCAGGATTTTGGGCACGCACGCACATGCACCTGGCGTGAGTTTGAGCCACCAGGTCCAGGACTCAAACCGTGGTCCACTACATGGAAATCCAGCGAAATAGCCATCATGACAACTACTGGTCCCAAGACAAATAGTTTCTAATCATGAGTTTCTGGTTGTTTCTAATAGCACTATTAACTAAAATTCTTTCCATTTTACAGCTAGAGAAACTGAAACCCATTCAATATTCTTGACAGGGTTCTGTTTGGGCTCTGCTGACCACCGCTGTGAAGAGACACCTTCAAAAATGGCTACCCTCAATAAACAGGCATGTGATCTGGTTTAGAAGATAGAGATCACATGACATCACACATTCAAAGAACAGTGAAGAGATCACCAATAGATAGTAAGATCTAATAAATAGCAGTAATAGTAATCACAGAAAGGGCTTGCTGAAGGTGAGTGGCTACTATTATTACCCCGGTGTGCTAAATTTCAGCAGCGTCTACATCTCTCAAGCATTTTTTTCTACACAAAAAGCACTAAACAGACAAATGAATATAGCAGACACCTGTACCTGATTCTCAGTGGCCATTAAGATACACATATCATGCTTTCTTAAGAAATAACTATTTAGATACACATAACTCCTGCCACGACTATTTCCAACCAGTCTTGTGAACCAACTGCACATTTACAGCAAAGGTGAATGCCATCTGAGGCTTCATTATATCCTTCTATGACTTCTCTAACCACCAAACGAAGGGTTAGTTTACAGTTAACAGCAAAAGCAGAAAACAAGGTACTACTAAGAAAAACTACAAGCTCTATCCCAAACATCTCCTCCCCAACATGGACAGTGTGTTTCTAGTGCCTTTTCTCTGAGGCCCCTGAAAACAGAGCCCAGATCTAAACCCCACACACACCCAGCAGAGCCTGCAATTAGCCATGAATGCGGGAGCTCAAGCGATGTCCTAGCTGAATGAGGCTAGGCTTAGACCGGATCTGTGCTGTGCCACAGAGCTGCGGGGACCAGTCCGACTGCCCGGCTTTCTTTTCCAGGGAGGAGAGGATGTGTTATTTGATGCATAATTTGCTTCATGCCACAGGAGAAGGAGACATTTCATCTTGGCCTCAGGCATTGAGACAGAGATCGAAAATCGAAGACTTCCATTTGAAATTGAAAATAAGCAGTCTGGTCATGAGCAACAAAATCCAAAAATTTTAAATGGAAAATTAACAGCACACTCTTCCATCCTCTTTCTCCTTAAAAGACACAGCTTGCTCTAGGCCTCTGGTAGGGATGCCAAGGAAACAGACTGGAGGGCAGGCTTCTGACTCAGGCCCTGCGCAGGGTGGAGAGGGCCTTAACCCCTTTCAGGAGAATAGCTCTTGTCCAAGTTCTGCATGGAGTCTTAGCCCAGTAACAAGAGAAGGCTCCAGATTTCAAAATTAGAGAAGCACAAGGAGAGGCCATTTGCTTTTACTCCTAGAGTAAGGACGTTAAAGGAAGTGATGCTGGTAACCCATCTAGGAATTAAAGGCTCCCAAATAACACAGAAGAGTTTAAAATTCACTTTGAAAAAGATGCCCCCCCTTGGGGGCCAGCAGGTGGTGTGGTAATTAAGGACACTGGACTCCCTTATGGCTGACTATGGTTCAAGTCCCAGACCTTGTGGCTTGCTTTCTCACTTTCCCTCTCTCTCTCTCTCTTTGTCCCTCTCTAGTCAAATCAAAATAAAATAAATAAATAAAGTTAAATAAAATAATTCTAAAAAAAAAAGAAAAGATAAAAAGAAAAAGCTTTCCCTTTTCAAATGACAGTTTAGAACAAAAAGACGGTAGAGTAGCCCACAGTGCTAGAAACATCACCAGGAAACCCGTTAGTGCCCCTCTGCTCTCTGGCTCCCCCTCCAGCCAGGGTGGTGGGCCTGCCTGAAGGAAGAGAGACGGTTTCTAAAAGAGTACTTGCACTCAACAGTGCCAGGATCTTTCAAAACTGCCTGTCATGGAGCCACAAGCCTGGGAGCTCAGGGCCAGAAGACACTGCAAGACACTATTTCAAAAATCCCAAGAACAGCGGCTTATGAAACTTCTGCCGCTTTTGCAAATGTTCCAGCGCTGTGAACTCCCAAGTCTCCAGCGACCCCTTTGCCCCTGTTCTCTGGCGCTTGCTCCATATCCTCTGCAAAGTTACAGTTGAGCTGAGAGAAAGGGAACGGAGGAGAGGAGGGGAAACCCAAGAGGCCTGGCCTGGGTCCCAGGAGTTCTGTCTGGTTGAGTCGGGACAAGCTGCTTAAACCTTTCTGCCTCGTGACACACCTGCAGGCGGCAAGTAGATCACCTTGTCCTCCAAGAGCCTTGCTGATACAGGGGCCCGGCCACCGCTGGGCCTACAACCCTGGTGACCGACCCCTCTAGGCGTCCTAGAGACTGCGCTAAACTTCAGGACTCAATTCCCTGAACCCCACCGCTCAGTTTACAGATGAGCAAACTGAGGCCAGGTGCTGGGATAGGGGAGGTCCGGGGCATGGTCCTCGTCGACCACACTTACTCTCGGAGTCGCTGAAGCCGCTGCTGTCGCTGACGCTGGCGCTGCTGCGTCGCTTCATGCGCTCCAGGTGCTCCTCGTAGTGGAAGTGGCGCTCGTGGAAGGGCGACGCGAAGTCGGCCAGCACCGCGTCAAACTCGCACAGCGCGTCGGTCAGGTCTGCGGCGGCCGCCGAGGCCAAGGCGGGGGCGGGGGACAGGGGCGGG